ACAAGATAGGATAAATTGTGTGAATTTATTTGTCTTCTTCATTGAATTCCACCTCCTTTAAAACTTTAGAGATGTGTGAATTCATGTTTGGTTGTGAATAGTCCCGAGATTGCATACTTCCTTTAACATGGTCAGTGGATTTATTTCTCCTAATATACACACGAAGTTCCTTGTTATCACTCTCAAATTGGATGTTCTCGACTGGTGGAACTTTGGAGAAAGAATCGTTAGAGGGAAGTAGAATAGGTTGTGATGACTCTATATCAATGTGAGCATCCAAAGTAGTGAAGTAAAATAAGTTGTGATTGTTCTATCCTAATTCTGATATTCACTAGGACTCTACACCTGAATATCATATTTAGGGTAGAAGAGTTAGTTTTCAAGAAGGTAACATACATGAAGTCATAATTTTTTTTTTTATAATCGGATAATAGCACTTGTGCCTCTTTTTGTTAGAAGTGTACCAAATATGTATTTGATGGATTTTAGGTCAAGCTTTATGTGGTTTGGTTGGTGAATGTGAACAAAAGAGATGCATCTAAATATTTTGGGGGAAGATTGGATGAGAAGGCTCTTACATGAGAGTATTTTTTCCAACACAATATCGAGAGGTGCTTTGAATCCAATGACCCTGCCTAATGTGCTATGAATGCAAAAACACTTTCATATGACACCCAAATCATATCTATTTATAAAACTAATGCTTTCCTAAATCCATTCATTAAATTCTTACTAAAATATGACAATTCATGGCATCTATATCAACATCTATTCTCAACATTTCAACAAAATTTCAATAATTTCGTCACAACAGACATAATGAATGACAAATCAGACTAAGAAGTGCATCAATCTTCTTCCTACTCACAATGTGTATGTCACAAGCATCAAAGAGATGCTATTGCCACAATTTCATCCCGACAACCTCTTTATGTGAGCATCCATTCTGCAATCTCGAATCGTTTTAATTTGCATTATACAGCTCCCTTTCATTGAAGTAAGCTTCTTGTAGGTTCGTAACCTTTATAGGCTTAGAGACAAAAGTAGTTTGTAGTACTAGATTGTTTTTTAGGACAAAAATAAATTGATATTAGACATGAACATTTTGAAAATCGATTTTGTCGATCTAGCCATTGAAATCATGCTCTATCAACAACTTTGAGTTCATAACAATGAGAGCTTTTAAATGGCATTCTCTTCTCACTATGGGCATTATGAACTCCATATGTCACCAGGAATCACAAAGCTCTAATTGTTTCATAATTACAAAGCTTTGCAAAGATTCATGTGTCGGTTAGGTCAAGAGCTTAGATCTCCTCTCCAACTGTCTTTTCCCATTATGGAATTTGAAGTGCTTCATGAACGAACTTGAGTATGCAATATTAAATATAAAAGATTTATAAGTTGATGATAACTTCTCATCTGCAACCTAATCCTAGATAGGATAATTTGTGTGAATTTCTTTGTCTTCTTCATTGAATTCCACCTCCTTTAAAACTTTAGAGATGTGTGAATTTAGGTTTGGTTATGAATAGTCCCGCGATTAAATACTTCCTTTAACATAATCAATGGATTTCTTTCTCCTAATATACACACAAAGTTCCTTGTTATCACTCTCAAATTAGATGTTCTCGACTGGTGGAACTTTGGAGAGAGAATGGTTAGAGGGAAGTAGAATAAGTTGTGATGACTCTAGATCAATGTGAGCATCCAAAGTAGTGAAGTAGAATAAGTTATGATTGTTCTAGACTAGTATCCCAATTCTGATATTCAATAGGACTCTCCCCCTGAATATCAAATTTAGGGTAGAAGGGTTGGTTTTCAAATAAGGTAACATACATGAAGTAATAATATTTTCTTTGTAATCGGATAATAGCACTTGCGCCTCTTTTTGTTAGAAGTGTACCAAATATGTATTTGATGGATTTTAGGTCAAGCTTTATGAGGTTTGATTGGTAAATGTGAACAAAAGAGATGCATCTAAATATTTTGGGGGAAGATTGGATGAGAAGGCTCTTACATGAGAGTATTTTTTTCAACACAATATCGAGAGGTGCTTTGAATCCAATTACCGTGCTTGACGTGCTATGAATGCAAAAGAACTTTCATATGACACTCAAATCATATCTATTTATAAAACTAATACTTTCCTAAATTCATTCCTTAAATTCTTACTAAAATATGACAAGTCATGGCATCTATATCAACATCTATCCTCAACATTTCAACAAAATTTCAATAATTTCGTCGCAACAGACATAATGAATGACAAATCAAACTAAGAAGTGCATCAATCTTCTTCCTATTTACTCACAACGTGTATGTCACAAGCATCAGAGAGATGCTACTGCCACAACTTCATCCCGACAATCTCTTTATGTGAGCATCCATTCTACAATCTCGAATAGTTTCAATTTGCATTATACAGCTCCCTTTCATTGAAGTGAGCTTCTTGTAGGTTCATGACCTTTATAGGCTATACACAAGTAGTTTGTAGTACTAGATTGTTTTTGAGAACACAAATAATTTGATACTAGACATGTGGCAGATAATCATTGTTTTAGTTAACCCTAAATTTGCTCTTAAAACATTTTGAAAATCGATTTTGTCGATCTAGCCATTGAAATCATGCTCTATCAACAACTTTGAGTTCATAACAATGAGAGCTTTTAAATGGCATTCCCTTTTCTCTATGGGCATTATGAACTCCATATGTCACAGGGAATTACAAAACTCTAATTGTTTCATGAAACCTCAATTCAACAATTTCAATGTTTCTTGGATCTTCTTGTTGCCCATGCAATTAGGACACCCTAATATTTAAGATAAAATAGGGTTTTTAGACGACGGTTGAAATGAAAAGGAATGAAATTCATAGCCATTAGATTTATTTCTATTTGAGTGAAATATAAATTTTAATTGCTTGGCTATGCATTGTACTCATCTCAAAATAAAATTGTTTCTTGTAATATTCATCCTGACCCCACTTTTATTCCACTGTAAAACTTTACTGAAGAGCTTTCCATCCTCAAAAGTATTAGGGCAGTGACACTTATTTGCTAGAAAAAAACAAAAAAAAATTAAAATAAAATAAACTTGATGTGAAGAAATTCTTGAGAGGACTTGGCCCATTAAACAAGGAATAAATTTCGTATTGTTCCATGCACCAGATTAAGATTCAACCAATAAATGTGGAGTAAATTTGAAATACTTCCAACCTTATCGAAATATAAGAGAATTGGGGAGCTATTGGGAGGAACGGCCAAACTTATATGGGATCAAACATTAAATATTCTATGCATAAAACAATGGTGGAAGGAGAGGCATCTGGGAACCTATGGAATTAGTCATATTTATTTTTTTCAATTTTAACTTGATTTTATACATCTTTATATAGATGAAGCTAACTTGTCATATAAAAAAAAACAATACTTATGGATAATTCTTCTACGAAGATTGAAGAATTGTTTAGGGTATTTTCTTATTAGAATCCAATTCAGAAACAGCTCAATGCTATGTCATGTTATAAAGAGATGCAATTGTTTGGCATGATGGCACCACTAACTGACAAATCTATAGAACAATATTGACTGAAGTCTATCAAAATTGGTTGATATTTAGAGATGTCCAAAAAATTTAATATTTCTCTCTTAATTATATATAATCCTAAAAATATTGGTCTGACTGAACCAAACACATAATATGTGACAAGTAGAATTAACATTTCATAACCATGATGTCTTAATAGGATCTTTATATAAATAAACTGAACCATAAAATATGAATTAGGAATGAGGCACGTACTTCAACACCCTGACCTGATACTAAATTCATAAACATCACCAAGCTTACTTATGATATTAAAGTGCCCCATCGCTAGGCTTCTTATGAAAAAAATATGTAGATTGGTTCTCTAAAGAAGTAAGAAGATCCGCCAATCTTATTATTCACCTTATAAAGCAACAAACACGGGAAAGGAAAAATGCCACTCAAAATTAGATCATTCTTAGTCTCCTATTCCTTGGTTTATTGTCAAACACTTATATCCTTAGCCTTTTTAAATGAAGTGGGGCTTGCTTATCAACAGGAGAAGCAGTAAGATAATAAGCAGTTAAAGAATAATCATAGACACCCACACCACACATGCTATCACACCTTCATCTTTAACTATAACTTGTTTCCCCTTTTGAATTGAAACCACAAACACCATACTTTCAACAGCTTCAGGTGGAGTTTGGCTGCAACAGGATATTTACGTTAATAGAATTTATCAAATCCGCGGGTGGACGCAACGGAGACATAGGTGCGAGCAACGGCGGAGTAAATCCACGAAATCCACCTCACATACGGGCTTGATAAATCCAGATTTAAGGCACTGAGGACACGGAATAGGGAGAAAGAGGCCGAAAGGGAGAGCGTAGGATTTAAAGGAAAGTTGGATTTAGATTTCTCCTTTTTTTCCTTTTTTGGCGTTTTGCTGGATTTAAGTTAAATCCAGGGTTAAATCCTGTTAAAAGTGTGCTACCAAACACCTCCTTAAGCTTTGAAAGACTATTGCGCCCAAAAAAAACACTCAATTCCGAAGTTTTAGTCTTAGAATACAATTCTGATTATCACGCCATAAATTCATTAAGGATGTCAGGAATTCATTAAGGAATGAGATTTTTTATTCTATGCATGCCGTGAATAACAATATAAAGCCTCAAACAAACATAATTTCGTAACTACAAAAACGAATCAACGGAATGACTGAAAAAAAGTTATATCAAGAGAAAATGTAAAACGTGATCATAATAACCAGAATCATCGCTAGCAAAAAATAAATGCGGATATAATATAGTGTTGACTGACCGGATAATTCATGGCCCCAACTCAAACATCTAACGATGAACGATTAAACATTTCTAGACGGACAAATCAAGAACCCAGGTCAAATTTATTAAAAAATAAGATAAGCGACTACGAATGCTAGGGTTTGTCGGAGTTAAGAAAATGATTACCGCCCTCTAAAGCTGCTTATTTTCTAATGTCGTCTGCATTTATCTGCCTCATCGGAGCTTCTCTTCTGCTTCAAATTGCAGATATTTCGACCGAGTATTCGTTTTCCCCTCCCCTTCTTCTACATCGTACCGGAAAGAGCTAAGTTGGCTGGATCGGAGTGGCGTGGAGCGGTTACGGCAGGGGAATGAAGAGGCCAAAGCCGACTCACAACTCTCTTGATTTCTCCGCCAATTAGAATCAACATCCAAGTGTTATACACCACTCACTAGGTGTTTAAATATCTAACGCCTTGATTCATGGGAGAAGATCTTCAGCATTATAGTAAAATAATAAATTATCATCCTATCATTATATATATAGAAAATTTAGCAACACTCATATAATAAAACAGAAGCAAATAAGAGGATACACCTGGACCTTTTATGTCAAAAATTCTATAAAAAAAAAAAAACTATGTGGTCTAACTGAGTTGAAATAATTCATTATTAATTTTGAGTACATACTACTCTTCTCTTGAGTTAAGGAATAGGGAGTTACAAAAGCTTGTTATTGTATATGTGCAACAGTAGTTTATCAACAATAGTAGTAATCTGGTTGTAATAAATGTAGTTATTGGTGATAGCGAGCTACAAGGGCATAGTCCATTGTTATGGAGACATAAGTTCGTTGTAGACTATGATTGTAGCATCAGCATGTTGTATAGTCTGTAGTTGAAAGCTATTGTAATGTCTGGTCGTGTGAGCTGCATAAGGTTGCTTCAGGAGTCTTAGTTTGTCACAGAGATTGTAGTAGATGTTATAAGTGTTGTGGACTACGCATGTCATAATTGGTCGCGTAGGTCGTATATTGTGATGATGTACGAAGACCGCTGGAGCTAGAGCCAAGAATTGCATGAGTTGTGTACCACATGTGTTATAACTTGTCGCGTGTGTTGTTGTTGTGAGATGTGATAATGTCTATAGGTCGCACGGTTCGAAATTGGGACCTGCACGAGCTACGAGTCACGTAGATCATAGTTGGTCACATAGGTGGTAGTGATGAGTTGTGATGAAATTCGTATGATATAGAGGTCAGAGTTTGGAGTTGCACAAACTAAAAGCCATGTAGGTCGTAGTTGGTTAGATGGGTCGTGGTGGTGAACTGTGATGACATCAATAGGCCACAAAGGGCTGGAGCCGAGAGTTGCACGATCTACGGACCGCGTATATCATGGTTTGTCGCGTAAGACATAGTGGTGAGCTGAAATAATATTTGCAACCTGTAGAGGTTGGAGTTAGGTTTTGTAAGTCACGTAAGTTGTAGCTGGTCACATAGGCCGTAGTAATGAGTTGTGATGACATCTGTAAGCTACAGTGGCCATAATGTGAGGTTGTACAAGTTGCAAGCCACATTGGTCATACTGGTGAGCTATGATGACGTTCTTTGGTTATTGGGTCCAAGTCGAGAGATGTACGAGCTGTCAACCACCACTAATAAAATTGTCAGATTAGTGTCAGAAATTTTCAACACTAATCGACCTTTTTTCCAATGCTAAGTTTAATTACTGTCAGATCAGCGTTGAAAACTCGTCGACGTTAAAACGGGCGTCGCTAATTGATTTTGCATCGACTTTTACGTTAGTTTTTTTTTTTAGTGTAGGAGTTTGCGGTGCAAAGTATGTCGCTATAAATTAGTGTCAAAATATGTCGACGTTGATTGGCATCGGCCAATTCCGACGCAATTTGGTTAAGAAACGACAAATTTGTAAGGTTAAGTGGAGCAGATTATTGTTGATTTAGTGTCGAAATATTATAGTGTCAATCCGAAGTAAGCCAGTAAGCAATGAAAAATCAATATAACAATTAAAATTTCACACCTGCACAGAAGAAACCCAAGCAACATAATATGACAATTATCTATCAACAGAACTGTAAAAAGAAAATCACTTAAATACATAAATAATGATAACAAATTAAATTAAGAGTAAACAAATCAAAGTGCTCAATGTTTAAAACAACAGAATCTAAAAGTTCATTAAGATGGAAATGAAAAAATATATATATAATCAGCCTCTACAACGAGGGAACAGTAAAAATAAAAATAAAAAACCTGACCTTCCTCCTCATCCTCTGCATGCTCCTTGTTATCCTCCTCAAAAATAGTCATATGTCGCTTGCCCCGACAACCAAAACTATCTGTCATATGTGTTAGACCATCTTCAACCCTCTGCTGACCTTTATGCATGTGTCGGAGCTCTTCATTCATCATCTTGACCCGCCTTGCAAGCTTCTTGTGCTGAGACTGTAACAAGATAGGGCCACACACACCTGCACGAGAGCGCTTCGGGCTCCCTCCATCATCCGATTTTGTTAATTTTTCTATCTTTTTTCTTTGGTATTCCGGAGAGGCCTATGATCTCTTTAAATCAACCAATATTTCCTCACCCATCCATGAATGCCTCCGCCCCTTCTTACGCTCCGCAATGAACATGTCTCTGAGGTGATGTCTGCCATGAACCTAAAAAATCTAACGAATCTGCTGATGATGTTTTGACAATCATTAAAACAATATTTGAAATAAGAAAGTATGTAAGTTTGATTCATCTTAAAAAAACAAAAAGTATTATTTTATTTAAATTTGAATTTTCATACCTCAAACTCTCTAAACCACCTGTTCTGAGTCGCAATCGGGATCTGTTTCCATTAGAGGAATGGTTGATCATAGAGATTCCTGAAATTGAAATGTTACAATAAAAAATGCGATGAAAATTACAAGTAATGTACTGTAAAAAAAAGTTGGTTTACGAGTCTCCCTCCAACATAATATATACTCTGTTGGAGGTGTCTGTTGACATCATTTTTTTTTAGGTCAAAATTCTTCTCATTGAACTTAGGATCTAGCCACTCCTACCGACTCTCCTAGAGGACTGGCAATAAGACCCACCTCACTTAGAAATTTGAATTGCTCCTTGACTTCCCTTAAGTCTCATATGTGTGGTTTCAAATTTTCAATATCTAGTTGAGTCGATTGGAGCCAACACGTTGAAAAGTAAAGGCGAATTCCTATAAGAATTGAGAATGCACTAGAAAAACCTTTTGGAATTTTGAAGCTTTTCGATATTCGATGCACCGTAATTTACACAATATATCCATAAAGACCATAATACATACATAATTCACTAAAAAAAATTAAATTTAAATTTAAAAATGAAATGAAAACCTCATAATGCGAATTCGAGACCCTTTGGCACGGTTTGACCAACTCGTTGCCAAGACTGTTCTGCTTTGCTTTGGTCGTCACTTAAACGAGGACCGATCCACATTTCGGTTGTCGAACGACTCAAATCGGCTCAATGAATTGCATCTGCCACGCGGTGTACTGGTCAAACTCCAAACAATCTGACCGTCGACAAACTTGTTAAGATGATCCTGGACGATGAAACAGACTGAGTCACTGCGACTTGAATGCCAATTTCATCTTAGAAAGATACTCATATTACTATAATTTCCTGCACAAATAAATGACACATAAATTAAAGTTAAATGGAGAAGAAATAACTTAAAAAAAAAATGAAATCTCCTTTAAAAGCCTCACGCCACTCCTCACAGCACTCGGACGAGGTCCCAACGGCTCTATCCCACACACTCGAGTTACCCTAACGGCTCTCACCATTCGGTCGATCCCCTCTCCAACTCACGACAATCAAAACAGGATCCCTCCTTCATTCGCCCCCTCTCGCCCTCTCCTTCTCGCGAGAAGGCTAACAAGGGTCGCAAGGATGGATTTTTATTTCGGCTTTTCTTACTCGGTTTTGGCTTGGATGCCCGGCTTTCTTGCTTGATATTTCAGTTTCCTTGCCTGAGCTCTCGATATTTCTGTCTTTTGCTTATTTGCTTGTTTGTGATTTAATAGTTCTGCTGGTTTGCTCGAAGTTCTTGCTTGGTTGTTCGGCCTTCCTTTTGCTTTGGCTGCTCGATGTTTTGGCACAGGCGGTGGTGATGAAGCTCAACTACATTTTCGTTTAACAAAAGCTAGTCATGGTCAATGCTTTCCTCGTACAGTCAATATAATGCCAAGGCATCATGGATGTCTTAGGAGGCAACCCATGCAGCTAGGAACTATTTACAGGATTTACACTCCGTTTTCGGATATTTAGATCCAAAAGGATTTTAGTGCTTTTTAAGTTTTCCTTGCATGACATTCTTTAAATCTTTTGACCCCTTTTCAAGTCGTTCTATGGGCTCAGAGGGCACATCGAGGCTGTTTTGTTTCACAATTTTGTCATGCTCGTGGTGATTATCCTTGTTATTAAATTTTAGAAACCTTATGATAAAACATACATGCTAATATATCTTGGGATTTAATCACTTATGTGATCTCAATATTTAAATGGCTGCCATGTATCTGAAATCTTTCTGAAAGTTCATCATTGTGAGCGCGATCCTTGCTGTGGTCATTCTTGGTTTTGTGCTATTACCATCTAAATTACAATTTTTAACCGAACGTGGACTTGTTGGCCATATAGAGGATCAGTTCTTCAATTATACAAGTTTACAGTGTTTCGAGATTTGAGGATGAAGTTATTCATTCTAGCTGTATGGTTGGTTGATGACCATTTTGGGACTTGCCTTAATCATGAAGTTGGTTTCACATCATCGTAAGGCTTTATGAATTTTAAGCTACTTTTATTCATCGAAGTCGACAATGTTATTTATCTTGTCGAAATCCACAATGTGGGGGTGACAACAGTTCTACTTGTATGGTTAGAGTTAAAGCCGGTTAATGTACTGGGATTTTTTTTGCATGTTTAACACTCAATTTTCTACTGCTATCTATACAATTAGTATGATGAAATAAATTTTGAGTGTTAATATGTGAATTCATAAGAGTTACGTGCTATTTATATAACTCTTCCTTGAAAAAAAAATACTTCATCGCATACAACTTTATAATGGTTGAGCGCCTAGTTTTTAATAGATGTGTTATTATGGGCCATTCCCTCCACTTCCATTTTTAATTCCATATGAAGATGGATTAAAATGAAGGTAGTCAAACCATTGGGATTTAATATTGAGAGGCGTAAGTATAAGCTAATGTTGCAATAAAAAATTACATTAGATTCATGGGTAAATCATATAAATGGTTTCATTTTCCTTGCATTTATACTTATGCATGTTAGATATTATTATTTGTATTTCTATTATTTAACCCTACTTAAGGGTACTTTTGTTTTTCTACTTATTGTATATATATACTCTTGTAATGAGGTGTTTGTGGCAATCTGGAACCCTAGCCAATT